ACAGACCCCCCCCCCTTATCACACCCCACCTTTGGGGGGGTCGGCAGCAAGCAGGGACCGGGATGGGGCAAGGGGGGGGCGCTCCATGCGGCTCAGCCCCCTGCGGCGCAGCGGGGCCCGCCCGGGGCCGGGGGGGCTGTGCAGGGCAAGGGGGGGCCGTGTATGTGTCCGCATATATATATAGATAGCTCTTTATCATATATATATCCCAGGATCCAGAAAGCGCCATTCATTCCGGGATGCTCCGCAGGTTTTAGTGTAAGTCCAACCTTGCAAGCAACCCTATGGGGGCATTTCTTGCCCAAGCCCAGGGGGGGCGAGATCACGCGCAATAAACTGTACATGTCCTTATAGTGAATGCGGCCGCTGCAAGAAGAATAGAGGGCGTTAGTGCGGACCCCCCCCGCGGGGCCCAGGCGTCCGGGACGCTGCGGGTGCCGGGAGCGGAAAGGGAGGACCCCCTCCCCCGCCCATAGCCGCATGGATGTGTTTGGGTGGGATTTGGGGGGGGGCAAGTGGTGTGCCCCCCTCTTAACCCCGTTGTATGGCCCGGGGCGGGGGGCAGTTCAGGGCTTGGGGACACCGGAGTGTCACCCAGGGTGGCGCAGGGACCCCTCCCCATGGGGACCCCCGGGGCAGGGGGTTGGGGGGTCTCCCGGTCCCTTGCGCTGGGCTGGGATAAAGGAGGAGGAACCGGCGGGTGCCGAAGACCTACGAGGAGAGAGGAGGGTTAATGGGGGCGGGGGGACAACCCCCCCCCCGGGTGACACTGCAGGGTGGGGGGACATAGGGACATCCCCAGGTGACACCACAGGGTGCTGGGGACATAGGGATGTCCCCAGGTGACACTGCAGGGCACAGGGGACGCGAGGATGTCCCCAGGTGACACCACAGGGTAGGGGGGGACAACCCCCCCCCCCAGGTGACACTGCAGGGTGGGGGGACACGGGGACTTCCCCTGGTGACACTGCAGGGTGCTGAGGGCACAGGGACGTCCCCAGGTGACACCACAGGGCACAGGGGACACGAGGACGTCCCCAGGTGACACCACAGGGTGGGGGGGCACTGGGACGTCCCCAGGTGACACTGGGACACAGGGATGTCCCCAGGTGACACCACAGGGCACAG